AGGAGACTCAGCCGTCAGTGTTTTCAAAGCCATGTAGTTTAAGTGACCCAGGCTTCAAAAACGCTCTCTGGAGAGATGTATATACAACAACGCCCCCCCCCCCCTTCACCTTCAGGAAGCAGACAGTAATTAGAAGAGCAACCAGCCACCAGAGTAGATGCTCCTTTGTTAAGTTTGACTCAGCATCAAGGACGGAGGGGGGGGGCTGGGTTTGATGGATAAACATTAGCCCATGAGACAAGCAGCCCCAGTTACACCCGGCAGCTCAGGACCCCGTTCGCATAATTATTCTTTCCAACTAATCTATCGATAATTAGGATGAGGAAGAGAGCTTTATAATGCCAAATGCCGTAAGAGATCACCGCACTCAGGTGTCAGGCCTGCATACCCAAGGTCGAGAGAAGCCTTCCAACAGTTCAAACAAAGCAGCGGCAGTCGGGCGCCATTAATGCGAAATGAGGCAGGGGACGCTATTGAGTATCATGGAGGTTTCCTGGCCTTTAAAGTGAGGATGAACTTGCTGACAGGAGCACACATTCGCCCATGGTTCCTGAAAGCCTTTGTGAAGGGACGTGGGCCCCGCGGTAACACTGCTGCTGGCGCTCCAGTTCTGTAATTACCCAGAATGCATCGCTCTAAAAGCGCCAACCCTGACAATGTCTCAAGCTAAAAAAAAAAAATAATAATCTGCCACTTCGCAAAAGTGACAAAGTCTCTGCAGGGCACCCAGCCCAGCTGTACTATCCGTGAGCCCCTGAGCCAATCAGGAGGCCAGACAGACCACGAATTATCCAATGATATCAACAGGCCAATGAAATAAACACCGTGAGCATAACTTGACGGGATGCACCACAAGCTCTGAGTGATTTCCCCTTAACTGCCCCCCCCCCCCCCCAACCAGATTTGTCATTTCCGAAGAGTGGGAGGCAGCAGACTGGCGGCAAGTCGTGCTGGGATCCGCGGGAGTCACATATTTCAAGAAACCCGTCGTTTCCACAGATTATAGACGCGGCGCTGGGCAGGAGTGGGTAATGTCTGTGTTCATTAAGACGCAGGCCTGTATAGACGGAGACATATAGCTGCACAGCAACATACTGCTTCATATGTCTGCAGACAGTGTAATGTGGCACCTGCATGAGGTTACTTACAGAAGTTACTTACAGATGTAACTATACTTGTGGATGTCAGCCATAAATACAGAGCGGAAGTACAGCACGAGGAAAAACTACACATTTCCCGACATCCTGTTTATCAAATCAAGTTCCGTTTCAACACAACACTAACATATGACTTCACTTCAATTTTGATGCCCCAAATCTAAATATAACAACAGTCTGTCACACAACACATTTATATTAATACCAGACTCATCATTCAAACACGCCAGACTCGCTCACATTACCACCAGATTCTTACCAGGTCTGTCACTTCCAGGTACCTCTGCCTCTTACACTCGTGCATGTGGCATCTGTGACGGAGCCTCTGCCCTCAATCCCACTTTGATGCGGGTGAGGACGACTTACCACAAACCAACAGAAATTCAACAAGAGTGAAAAAAAAAATAATAATCACCTAAAGGATTTTGTACATGCAGGTTCTTAAAAAAAAATCAACTACGGAGTTGTTTGTTTGCTTGATATTTTTCAGGATGCTTTTGCAAGGACATCTGTCTCCAAAATATGGCAACCCCCCCCCCACCCCCACATATAGAGTTGACTCAGATAACACCCAGGGACCATTGCACCATCCGTGCATTTACAGAGACGACCCAGTTCTTCATTATCTTTTTACATAACCTAACAACTTTTACCCAAACTCCCAAACTGTGTCAAAAACACACCGATAAATGCCAGGTTGTCCATGGGGCCTGTTTTACATGGTCATGCACCCATTACGCCTGTTATTAATAGAGGGGTACACTCAGCAACCATTCATTGTCACTGAAAAGGAGACTGCGATGTCACCTACATTCACGCCCAGCTGACAGTCACACCCCTCATGGAGAGCCTGAATGGCAGCACGAATGTGTTCGAACCCCAGCTCCCATAGGGCCGGCCCAGCTCCACGGCCCACTCGCTCTCTCCCAGCACGCAAAGGTAATCCGACGTGCCCGGGGACGCCAAGCTTCCCCCAGGAGAGCGGACAACATTTATACCCCCTTTATCTTCCCGTCCATTTAATAAAACCACCTGTGTTTTGCTGATCCAGTGGATGAAACAGATAAATAAAAATATATACACACTCCAGGTTCTCCAGCGGAGCTTTTGAGGGAGGAAAATGAGCGACGGTAGCTGGCAGTGCTCGCCTCACATTGTGAATCATTCTTGCGAGTTCCTCGCTGAGCGTTTAATTTAAAAATGGGATTTACATGGGGAGAAATATTCAGCAGCAGATACTACAGAAAGCTGCCGTCCTATCTGTACGGGCATAAATAAAATATTTCATTTTGCAGCAATTTGAAAACATGTTTTTTGGGGGGTTTTTTTTTGGGGGGGGGGGGGGGGGGGGGGGGTTCCCTAGTCACA